CTCTGCATATAGGTTAAATAAGCAGGGTGACAGTATACAGCCTTGTCGTACACCTTTCCCTATTTTGAACCAATCGGTTGTTCCATGAGCGAAGACTTTATGGGACTGTAATTTAATTGAAATAAGTAGCGTTCTACTTTATTTTGTTTTTCATCTTGTTGTTCAACAAAATCACAACAGCTAATTTAAATTGTTAATGTGCAATTCACACATAGTGGGAAACCATCAAGCCCTATATGTAAATAAACTACAATAATTTGGGAGCTTCTACGCTGTGCATCCTTAAGTGCACAAAAACCTGACATCAGAAACTTTTACTTCTGATTCTAAACTAATCTGTTTTTCTATGACATCATGACTTAGTAAACAATGTGTTCAGATATAGGTGAAGAATGTTTAACGCTGGCTTGTTTTTGCTACCATTGTTGGAATACCATGCCGTTCAGAATTCAAACACATTCAAGAACCATGGTTTGTACGATGCCAAAAGCAGAAAGTTCTGGTCTTATCCATGGACACGAGAAGGAGGAATATAGATGCCCAGGAAACTACGCTAAGATAAAAGTGTTGATGTACAGACCATAATATACATACTATTCAAGGGTTGCCATACTACAACAAACACTATTATAAAATAAGATTAAGAATCTCTGGTTGATGATCGTGTATTCAGGATGTTTTTCAATTATTCTTAAGAATGCGATTGAACAGGAAAAAATAATTTGTTTCCTTTAAACAGAAACCAATCCAAGGCAATAAGACGACACCAGAAGAGTTCTTTAAAGCTACTATGATGAGAAAGGCAACATTTTAAATTGAAAATAAGCCCTAGAGAGCCTGCAACTGAGAACAGAAAGGTGAACATTAAAAATTAATCTTCTGACAAACGTGAATGCCAAAGTAACTGTTGCTAATACTGGAATGAAAGCTAAGGAACTGAAATGATTATGAATACCAGCAAGAGAGTAATCAATTAAAATTTAAAATTGATTAGAATGGAAAGAAAAATAGACACTAGAGAAAGGGCAGCAAGTACAGCAAAGTGAGGTTTCACAATAACACAGTTTAGAACAATACTAAGACTGTATGAGTTAATCTAAAAAATGTTCAATGCCCTTGCCATATTTGTCCATATTAAATACCAACAACTGTTTCCTCTAAAGTCAAAGAGCTTTCTGATGACTCTTAAGTATCTACTAGTCCTTTAAACCTAGGGGCCACTGATGTTTCTCTTCTTTTGTATTCTCTACTTCTGCTTTGGTTTGTATCAGGGCTTTGAAAAACAGTGCTATTTGAGCACTCTGAGAACCATTAACATCTTATTCTGTCATTCAATCTATTTTGTAAAAAGTCTTTCATCAGAATGATTTCTGTAGCTTCCACATTCCATCTTAACATATTAAACTCCAGATCTGATGCCTCAGTGTGTTTTTCTCAAAGGATATCCCCAAACACAGAATATATTAATGCTTAGTTATTTAAGAGCAATTAAGACACATAGTCAACTTCTGGGGACTATATGGACAATTAATTTCACTCCATGGCATGACCTATTTCAAGCATCTACAGCAAATCATCTTTTTTTTTTTTGCAATCTATATAAAAGCATTCAGAGTATACCTGGATTCCCAAACAATTAACAGTCTGATCGATCAGTTCTAGGAGAAAGAGGTTGAGTGTCAGCATAACAGTGCAACATTTCATATGAACACAGGAAGCTGCCTTATACTGTCAGATAGTTAGTTGATTGAACAATGGTCTTGCCCGCACTAAATGTCAACAACTCTCCAGGGTTTCAGACATATAGTAGTCTCTCCCAACCTTATTTGGAGATGCCAGGGATTGACTGTGAAACATTCTGCACACAATTCTGCACTTTCATACATTCTCAAAACCTCTCTTTTCATCTCAGTCAGAATCTATCTGACAATATACTCTTCACTGATCATATGCTCCTTCAACTAAGTGATATTATACTACTTTTACAGTTATAATCAGCTATAAGAACAAATAGAATAAGTCACATAAGGATTTCCATTGAAAAGATTTGCAATGATATCAAATTAGAGGACAGTTGTATTAATTTTCTGAAGTTGGGATTATGTGCTAAGCACGAACCAGTTACTGAAGTAACAGGAAGCAGAAGCCTGTGTCCAGGCAGTATCATTTGCTAGCAAACCATGAAGCTCCATAATCCCATGCTAAAGGCATCCTTGCATTTTATGCCAAGACAATTAGAAGCTGCCGTTTTCAAGGACCCTTCAGCCTAAGAGACCAACATAAATTTAGTCACTCATAGTGACAGCTCAAGATGAAATATGCTATAGGTAAGATTCATGCTATTATCTTAGTAGATCCTGAAATAAATCCATACATCGCATGAGGCGGTGCCAAATCATGGTCTCCTTCCCCATTCTACTGAATAAATACTCTCAATGTATTTTAGCTTGCCATGCATTCAGTTTGCCAACCAGGCTCTCTAAATATGCCAGAATAAAAATTTCCATTTCTGATATTTATTTATATGTTTCATTAAAATGCCCTGTAACATTACTTAAAATTCAAGGGAGCTTACCTTTTCATTATCAATATGGACAACATCTTTGGCTTCAGGATCTTCCTCCCACAATGGAGCTCCTTCAGGATCCTTTAGAAAGGCAACCAGTGACTGGAAAGGAAGACACAGTCCTTTAACCATAGCTACAGTTGACTTATCAAATGCTGTCTTGGTCTTTTAGACTCTAGAAACAGAAATATTTGGTCTGCTTTTCCCCTTAGAGTTTTAAGAAACTTTGTCCCTGATATGTTTGTTTTTAAAAAAGATTCAAGGTACTGAACCCAACCATGGCATTTTCAATAGAATTTTTAGAAGAACAGACTAGAATTGGGGGAAAGCCATGCTGAACATCCCCCCTTCATTAGAAAAGCTACTGTATGACTACAGGCCATCACCAACTCTACCTTGCAAGACTGTTGTGAGGAAAGGGACGAAGGAAAGAAAACTTCTACAGTTCCATGGTGGAAAGCTAAGATAAAAATCAAATGTTGTACAATAGAAATATATGGTTTACTACAAGGCTACAAATTGTCCAATGTACTAGAATGGAACTTGAGTATTTCTTACTAGCTGAACATTATGTAGGACTTCAGTCTCACTAACCTACATGCTACAATCAATGTACAAGTTAGACTGCAGAGTTAGCAGCTACATCTTTCTCTCTATACTATATAGTTGGGTGTCTATGTTTTTTTATTAAATGTTCCTTCATTTATTTATTAGATCTATGTTCCAACTTCCATTTAGGATCTCAAGGTGATGTACAGAGCACTCTCTCCTCCTTTTCTCCCCACAACACTATGCAATAGGGTAATTAACAAGAGTATCTCTAGGACATAAGAGAGTCACAAAAACCTTTTCTGAAAACAAACACAGATGCCATGGCCAAGTACTCTCTCTGTGTCTGTTCGGCGGTCCCAAAAATTGTGAAAACAGATGGATGGGGGCTAGCAATTATAGAAAGTGATAGAATAGGAAGGTTGTGTTTTGCTTATACTGCATCAGGGATTGTCTTTTTCAGAATAAGGTGTGGTTTGGCGCTTTTCCTGTTTTGTTTGTTTTGGTGTATGGCATATTTTGTCTATATTTTTTGCTTGAAGTTAGGGTGTGATATTTGATTTATGTCTATGTTATGGCCAATGTGCCTATTCTATGTATGGTGTGTGCAATCTAGGTTGCCTGTTTTTATTTTCTAGCAATGGGTGACTGATACATGGTAGGTGGATAGTTTACCTGTACATGCTGAGACTCGTTGGTTTGCCTTGATGGAAATGCATGTTTTGCGACTGGCCACACCATTCTGTGAGCCTGTCCACAATACAGGTTCAACGTTCCAAATGTTACCCACTGCCCCAAAAGGGTGTGTGTGTGTAGGGGGAGGCATGGTGCTGTTTCAGTCCAATATATACATACATTGTCTTTCCGCTGAAAAGGTATGACAAGTTATAATGTCTTTCTTCCTTTCTCTTTCTCAAAGTATGTTCTGAGTATCATTCATGGGAATGCAGGGAATCCCATCCACTTATTTAGAAGCACTACACACACCCTTTGGCTTCCTCTGCTTGACCTCAGCTTTTTCCTCAGCATAAATTTCCCTCAGGGCAGTCCAGAGGGACAGGGAGGCACTAACCTTTCAAGTGCTAAAGAAACTTGCTACATCATTTAGCTTCAAAAATTCCCACATATGTGCCAATCTGGGATCTCTAACATAGTCCCACAGACATTTCTCTCGGGGCTTACCAGGTCTCCACCCCTCCCGATTATATTAAATCAATTCTACTTTAATGTAAAAATAACTGGACACCTAGCATGTTGCAAAATCCCTTGTGTTCAGTATAAACAGAACTGAAAAAGATTTCATTCCTGCAGTTACAGGAGAAGAAGAAGCATGTTGCTGTTTGTTCAGGTTGCTATTTTCTGAAACTTAAAATCATTTTAAAAGCAATGGGAGATCCTAAAGCCAAGGAAGTTTCTTCAGTCCAAGGTTTATAAGGGAAACTAAAAGCTGAGGGGAAAAAACTGTACAATTCCTAACCTTCCATATACAACTTTCCCATCTAAGAGATGTGATGAGGATGGACAAGCATTTGCAGCATTCATACTTTGTGATTTCTCCCCTTTATTCCTTTCCCTGTCTCCCACTTGCTAATACCTACGGATATTTATTCTCACAGCTGTATCCATTTCACCAGTGCTTCCTCAAGCGTGAAAAGAAACTCAGACTATATAAGTTTTTTTTCCATAGATTAAATCAAATCAAATCAAATCAAATCAAATCAAATCTTCATTATGGTCAAAGACCAGCATGTTCCATAAACTAAGGATACTTATAGAACACATATTCTGTTGTTGATAATTAGGCCACTGAAATTCATTAGCACATATTCAGTTTCAACTGAAACATTAAATTCATAAGGTAACCAAGCATTTAACAGCACTCACTTTTCTCTATCAGATTGCCAACCTTTCTATGCGTAGAAGACAATAAAAGCTCAACACAGATTCACACAACTCTGTGGGTGGGTTCCTCCCAGCCCTCACCTTGCTAATGGGAGTCAAAGCATTCAGTGCCCGTCTTACTGAATTTAATAAGGCTAAGGTAACATCTCTTACACTTTACATCAAATTGGTTCTGCAATCTAACGATCTATCTAGGTGTATCACAATTTCTAGTTCTCTTTTGGATGGCTTAAGAAAACAGAATGCTGCCTAAGAAATTGTTTTCAAAACCTGGAAGAAAACTTCTATATCAGTCCATGGCACAGCAGAGGAAACTGCTGAACATTTGAGAGGAAAACCTGAATCTCTACTCCTCTTAGGCAGGATCTTGTGTGCGTATAAAAAGCCTCCCTGGGCTGCAGCCCAAGAAAGAAAATATGCTGAAGCCCTACCCAAATCACCACCTTCATTGGCAAGAGCATTTGCACATGTTCTTAAAATACAAAAGAGCATATGTGGAGAGCTTTGTTTGTTCTTGCTGATTTGACACAAAATGAAGTGTTGAATCTGTTAACAGTTTAAAAACAGCATACACAAATTAAAGGCAAGAGCGCAAACAGCAGGATGATTTGAGAGGATTCTCTTCCCACTGAGATGTATATACATTTCAAAGTAAAATAAATCAAAGTTACTCTGTTTAATCCTAGAATAAGTCATAGAAAACAAATTACATTTTCTAGGTATTCTCTGTTGAGTTATTGAAATAATTTTTTTGTCCTTCTGTTATTGATCAATATACAAATTGTGAACCTAGGGGCAGGGAATCGTTGCTTTAAAATTGTTACCGGGTAGTACTTAATAATAAGTACAACTGAAGACTCCAATGGTAGTTTTAGTGTCTTTTATAAATAAGCAAGACAATATCTTCTCTGTGGACTAATTTGGAAACTCTTCAAAACTGTCTTTATGACATTAGAACCCATTATCACTGAATAGTTTTCCGTAATGTCCAGATATATGTGGACTGCAATACTCAGAATTCCAGTCATCTTGAAGAACAGCAAGTTGGAGAGAGCTGACATAAAAGGTTATAAGAAAAACAGAATGCACTGAAGTCAGAAAAGGTGATTGCTGAGCTATTTTTTGTTTTTATCCACATGCACAGAATAAAAAAGAGAGATACTTTAGTATAGTTGCTTAATGCAGGACAAAACCTTTTTTCTGTTCAAAATTCAACAAATTTTCTGACTAGAACATTATGCAAATTGAATAAGTTTGACTTAATCTGAAGAATCTCTTCCTCTCTGTGAATAGAATTTTAAATTCTATAGTTAACAACACAGCTTCTGGTTGCTTAGCATTAGCAGGATGAGGCAGCTTTAAGGTTCAAGGAATTGTTCTATTCAAACAGCAGTGGCCAGATTTCACCACGGGTGACATATAAAAAGAAATGCTCCCTCGTAGGCATAACTGTCATATAATGTTGCAGATATGGTCATCAACATGATTAAAAGGTTGTTATGGAGTCTACATAATTATTTCAGGAAGGCTTGTTCTTATTTCTGCTGAGCAATCGTTAGAAACATTCTGCACACTACTTATAGCAGGTCAAACGTTGGAAGCCTCTTTTCAGTGCCAGATAAATTCCCTGCATTTTTTTCAGCTAGATTTTTTCATCACCCTGGTTTAGGCAAAACACTACTGTGGCAGCTGCCATCAGTTCCAGCAAAAGATAAGTTTTGGGTTTGCTTTTTAAAAAAAAAAGACTTGGCAACAATTCTTTTGGACTTTGTTCTGGAGCTGAATGATAGCTGTGTTAGTTGGGGAGAAAGCTATGTCTAAGCGCTAACTGTAGTCTCTAGCTGGCTTTTGCCAAGCTAATAAGCGATTGGTAAGAAAATGGTTCCCTTCTCTTTCTGAAAAGAAGTTATTTTTGGTAACTTGAGTTGGGTATTTCTCCTCTAGAGTTGCATGGTTCAGCCTTAGCATGCGTTCAGTTCCTGGCATTAGAATACAGGTAGTCCACACTTAACAACCATTCATTCAGCGACTATTCAAAGTTATGGCAGTGCTGAATGAATGGTACTTAAGCCCAGTCCCCAAAATTACAGCCGTTGCATTGCCTCTGCAGTCACATGATCAAAATTTGGGCACTTGGAAGCCCACCCGCACTTATGACTGCAGGGGCACTTCAACTCCCCCCACCTGCTTACCTCCCCTCCCATCTCTGCCCTTTTGGCCACCCTGCACAGCGGCACTCCTCAGCGGTGGTGGCAACACTGGGGTTGAAGTAGAGGCCTGGGGCCTTCAGCAGTCTCAGCTGGCTGCCACCACCTCAGTCCTCTACTTCAGTCCTAGCGCCGCCACTGCCACAGAATGCTGCCTCAAGCTCCATGCCATGGCCAGCTACCACAGCGCAAAACTCCAGCTGCCTCTGCTACCCTGTGCTCTTCAGGCCCTGCCATGCCAAGCTGACCTTTACCATCTTCCTCCCACAGCTAATGAGGCACACCCGACCTGGCCCTATGTGAGGTAGCTGCCAGCCGCACCAGGCCTTCTTCCGGAAGCCACTCATGCCATTCTCTAAATAGCATGTGCTGTTCTCCCGATGCTTTGGAAAGCCTTTGGGAAGCAGTGAAAGATGGTGAAGGTCAGCTGGGTGTGGCAGGGCCTGAAGAGCACAGGGTAGAGGGAATGGCTAGGGCTTTATGCTCTTGCACTGGAGTGGCTGGCTGTGGTGTGGGGCTTCAGGCAACTTTCCACGGTGGCAGCGGCACTGGGGCTGAGTAGAGGCCTGGGGGTGGTGGCAGCCAGCTGAGATTGCTGAAGGTCCCGGGGCTCTACTTCAGCCCCAGTACTGCCACCACGGAGGAGTGCTGCTGTGCAGGGTGGCCAAAAGGGCAGAGATGGGGGGGAGATAGGTGGGGGGCAGTTGAAAAGGAGGCAGAGGAGACAGTCCCTTACCTTACCGAGGCTCAGGACTAGGAGGGACCAAGCCAGGAATGGCTTGGATTGGGGTGGGTCCTTGTCTAACAACTGGTGGGATTCAATTAATGACAGCAACAGACAGCAGCAGATCATTCAGTGAGCAGGTCTACTGCCAGACAAAAAGTTTAGAACTGCTCCCTGGTGCAAATTAGAAGCTCTTTCTGAAAACTATTTATTCTCTTCTCCCCATAGGGAGAGTAAAAAAGAAAATGACGTGGCAAGTATATTAATAGGAGGGTGCCTTCAAAATAAGCACATAAGAGTATGTAATGTAAATCCCAAAAAATGTAACAGAATTTGGAGATCACATTGTGAACCCCTACTGTTTTCAGATACATCAAAAGTCATGCTGGAAATCCATATATTTATTTTTTAGGTCCATATGTCATCTTTTACTGAATTTATTCAATGATGCAATCCAGAATGTTAAAAAAATAATGCAGTAGAATATCTCAATGTAATTATTTCAAAACAATTAAAAAGTTCAGAGAGTAACAGCTTTAGTTCTTGCTTGAGAGAATAAAATAGAACCCACAGAGATTTGAGACGTACCCAAATGGCAATTTCTTCCCATTATGTTACATATTAATGGCAATCTGTTTCATTGCTCTGCACCTCTTACTGTTAGGAAACTTCTGAGTCCAACTAAAAACCACTTTATTGTAATTTTTGTCCTGTTTTCTGGAACAACTCTGAACAATTCTGCTCCATCTTCTAGTCCTTCAGATATATGAAGGTAGCTATCATGCCTCTCCACAGTCTTCATTTCTGCAGATTTGGAAGATACTACATTTCTAAATGTTCCTGACAAGTTTTTCCCTCCAGGGCCCTTTAATCTTGTCTAGTCTCCTTTGGACATACTCCAGTTTATCAGTGTCCTTCCTAAAATGCAATACCCCAAACAGGATGCAGTATTCCAAGTATGGTCCGACAAGTACAGAATAAAATAGAACAGTGACTTTTCTTGACCCTGAGACTATTCCTCTACAGATGCAGCCTAAGTGGCATTGGCTTTTCTGCAGCTGCATCAAACTGTTGCCTCACGTTCAGCTTGTGATCCACCAAGACACCCAGGTCTTTTCTGCATGTGCTACTGACCACGGTTAAATAGTATTCTGTTACTGTAATTACCTACTGATAACTCTCTCCTTCCAGGAATTTATCAACTCCCCCTTTAAAGCTATCTGAAGTTTACATGTATGAAGTAATTTATTTTGTCTCCCCTGAATCCAACAAACGTTGTGCAAGAGCAAATACCCGCTCTGTCCTCTTTATACGCTTTGTAATTTTGTAAGATGCTTTAATGTTCCCACTTGGTTAATTTTTTTGCTCAGCATAAAGGAGAGTAAATACTTTGGTTGTCCCTCACAAAGCTGCTTCTCTAGCCTCTGTATGGTCTTTTCTGTACCTTCTCCAGCTTGATGAAATGTTTGAAAGAACAAGACTCGGGTACAACATTCCAAAGATAGCTATATCACAGAGGCCATGGTCTTTTCCTAACATATTCAAACATGGAACCTTTCATTCCCATTTCCCATGCTGATACTCTGGACTCCTATTTCCCATGCTAAATAAATTCATATAAGCATTATAGCCTGAAGTTGTCCTGGGACATTTGGAGAGCTTCTGGAGGTTAAGGTAAAATCTGTGGTTACATTTTCTCACAAGGTAAATTCAACTGAGCTTTTTCATCACCGTCATAACTGTGAATGCTAAATGAGGACTATCTGCATGTCTCTTGCAATAATTGCAGAGGCACAGTTAACTGAAATTCATATACAGTCAGGACCAGAAATACTGGAACAAGGATAACTGCTTTGGCATTTGGCCTCTGTACACCACCACATTGAAGTTGAAAGGAAACACATCCAGATGGGACCGAAGTCAGGACTTTCAGCTATAATTCAAGGGGTTTAACAAAAGTGGGGCACTAACCATTCAGGAAGTACAGCCAGTGGCATATGTCAGGTTCAGCCGGCACAGCACTGCTAGGAAAACTGGCCAGCCGTGCTGAGCCAATTCTACCACCCGCTTGCAAGCCAGGGAAAAAGAGGAAGTGAGAGCCGTGGCTGATTAATGGGCCACCTGCGCCCGCTTAACAGGAAACTGCAGAATGGAAGTTTTGTATCCACCCTGATAAGCGGCGCACACCGAGACAAAGAATGAAGCCGCGAGCCACGGAAAGGAGATCACCGCGCGATCAAGCAAACCCCGGTTTTGCATGCAACTGAAAGGACCCCAAGGAAACAAGCCCACGCCGGAGGGGTAGTTAATCAAGGGACAATGGGACACTGGCTGAACCTGCCATCTGGACCATTAAGGGGGATTACTGGGGCACCAACAAGCCACAACATGTAACATGACGACGGGGCGAAACGCGGGAAGGGGAGAGTTATAAATTGTACAACGAAATGTGCCAAGCCAGTCCTGGCTTTGTTTGTAACTGTCGCGTT